GCCTGGAAGAGATGGATCAAGTGGAGAGAGTCACAAACCAACCTGGAGCCCGTTTCTTGTATGTTTTGCAACATTTTTTTACTTGTCTGTAAGTTTTAGATTGTTTTCCTCTTTGAAGTGAGTTAAAAAATTCAGGTGGAAAAATCCCAGCAAACTCTACTATAGTCATAAAACATGCTGTTTTCTGCTTTGTTCGTGCATATGTGCAGGTAGAGGATGGAGCTTTTTTCTAACTTTTAAGAACTTCATGCTGCTGTTTGAAAATTTCCCAATTTTTCCTGTGAAGAAGTAACTACACCCTCTACATTGTAGAATCTAGCAGGAATACATTTCTCTTAAGGTCCTGCCACAGCATTTCAGTTGAGTTGAGGTCTGGACTTTGTGACTTTATTCATTCTGAGCCATCCTGCTGTGCTTGGGATCATTGTCCTGTTCCATGATTCAGTTTGGGCCTCACGTTTGACTCCAAACTCAAATACTTTGGTATACAGAGGAGTTCATGGTCGACTCAGTGACTGCACGATGCCCAGGTCCTGTAGCTGGAAAACAAGGTCAAGTTTGACCTTCGTATAGAGACCATAAAATCAATAGTCCTGTGAGACAATTCATAAAAAAAGAGCAGATGAATACAATTTGAGTGTAACTTTATTTTTTTGTATTTTGTCTCATGAAGGCAACGATGTCAAAGCTAATCCACTAAAACCTTTTCATGACTCTTTCATCTGTTAGCTCATGCACTGACGCTGAAGGCGGACCTCCTTCGTTGCTCTGTGGCTGAACTGAGCGACTGCCTGCTTTGCTTCATCAGGGAGGTGAAACAATCGGACGGAGAGCCGTACTCCCCCCGCAGGCTGTTCTACCTCTGCCTCAGCATTCAGCTGGTAAGACTAGAAATGACAGTATATACATTTATAATTATTGACAAATGGGCTGCCTGATCCTGCTGGTTCTTTCTAACTTGGCTCTCTGGCTCCTTCTCTTCCCTTTTCTTTTTTGCCCCCCATGCATTGTGCTGGCCTGTGTGTTGCAGTGCTCGGGTCCTCCCTTCTGTCCTGTCCCTTTGCCCGGCTGTCTGTGTTGGGGTGGGTGGCTCTTGCTTCCGAGATTGATGGGGGTCCAGGAGTGTGGGGCTTGGGTGGTTTCCTTTTGGGGCTGCTGGTTATCTTGCACCTTTGGCCATGGTGCCTGGGTTGTGCTGGTCAGCGCCCTTCTTGGACTTCAGGTCTGTTTACTGTCCCTCGGCTTCTGTGGCGTTCTGAGCCCTTCTCTCACTACGTCTGCTGGCTGGCTTAAACTATATCTTCATGGTGGCTTTAGACACTGGTGTGGACTTTGATGCATGTTTTTCACACAGCACGCTGGTGTTCTCGGCTTCGTGGTCTTTGCGTCATAAAGCCCAGAATCTGGGGCTTCTGGGCTTCATGACGTTTGTGTTCTGGTGATTTGGGCGAAGTCGATGGGATGGACTTGTCTTTACAGCACAAATTTCCAAACTGATGATAAGATTTAGAGGCTGGGTGAGTGTCATGGGGCTTTCATGCTGCTCCGTGGGCACAGTGATCCAACACTCAGCGATTGTTTACTTTTTCTGTTAATTTGTCACCCACCTGTTTGTCACAACCATATCCTGTGTTTAGTGTTTAATGAGCCATATTTGTTTTTGTCTTTCTCTGTAGTTTCTGGTTCAGAACGGTCGGCTGGAGAACATATTGAGTGATCTCATCTACGACAGGTTTTCCACTGAGTTGACCAAGATCCTTAAACCTTCAGTCACAGGCGGAGGTAAATTATCTTCAGCACCTTCGTTTTTTCCTGTTTTTGATATTTTGATCAGGTCCATCAGCTGCCTGCTGTTTTCTGCAGGTTGCGTCCTGTCCTGTGTGGAGGAGCAGTTTCTGTGGGACTGTAAACAGCTGGGGGCGTACTCCCCCACTGTCCTGCTCAACACGCTGCTCTTCTTCTTCTGCAAGTACTTTGGCTTCACCACACTCGAGCAGCACCGCCGGCTGTCCTTTGCAAACATCACACTTTGCACCAAAACCAGCAAGAGCAACACCAAGACCACCTTCCTACGCTTCCACCCACCTACTTGTACAAACCAGGAAGAGTCAGGTACCAAACGGCTGAGGGGCCAAATGAAATTTGTGTATAGTAAATTGTATGACATGGAAGTTTACATTTTTACTTACTTAAGGCATGTTGTTGTCATTTTTGTGTGTTCTTCAGACACGTATGACGTCCCAGCTAAGAAGGTTAAGAAAAACGAGTCTGAGGAGGATTTCCTGGAGATGATGGAGAACCAGGAGAACCCCCTTCGTTGTCCAGTCAGACTCTATGAGTTCTACCTCTCCAAGTGGTCGGTGTCTCTAACTCCTTAGGGATTTATGCCTATCACCCTTTATCTCCATCTATCAGCTGTATTACTTCTCCTAGTTTGAAATTTGCTAACCCATTTAATGCATAAACTGAAACAGTTCTGTATCAACGCTAAAATAAGGTATAAAATGTTTAAAATGTATTTACATTTAGAGATGTCTAACTTTAATGACCTCAAATTATTATTATTATCTTTTTTTAAAAACACATTTTCTTCTATTTCATGTAGTCCCGCATCGCTGAGGCAGCGCAGCGATCTTTTCTACCTCCAGCCAGATCGGAGCTGCCTTCCCAGCAGCCCTCTGTGGTTCTCGCCCGCCCCGCTCAATGACAGCAGCGTGGAAGCCACGATCATCCGAATCCTTGCTGTCCAAGGGCTGCAGGGGGGGGAGAAAGAGGGTACATGTATGGCCCCGTAACCACTGGATGACCCATCATTTACACCTGATCAGGAGGACTCATTGTTTGAAGGACTTTTTTTTATTAAGTGCATCAAGATTGATTTAAGAATATATACAGAGTAAAAACATCAGCATGATTCAATGAAAGATGGCTGTTCATAAACAGTGTGTTTTTAAACAGCCAAGTGGCAGAAAGACACCAGATGTTTCCATCAGCAGCTGGTGGAAGCTAAAAATAGAGCTAAAAGAGACTTTAGAGATTACAGCTGTTTTATCATGCCAGCTCCATATGTCAATACTATATCACCAGTTTACCTTGAATTTTGGCTTAAACTGTCTTTTATCTCCCTTGAGTCTATTTACAGTCTGGAAAGTTTTTATATTATATTAATAAAACAGTCAGAACAAAGCTTATTTTTATAGGCTTTAGTTATATAACTCCTCTGTGAGGTCAGACACTGATGTAAATTCTTAAAAGTTACAACAAAAAAAGACGTTTCACAGGTGACATTGCAGTTTTAGCTCATAATACATACATTAAAAAAAACAGGAACAAACTAATCATTAACATTTATCTCATTTCAAATGGTGTATATATCTTTTCATTAAACATCTCTGAAAGGAAGCTTTAAAAGTTTGCAGCATTAGCTTTCATTGTGTCCTGTACTCTCACCTCTACTTCCTGAATTTAATTTAGATGCACAGAGCCACAGCTGGTTTCTCACAAATACTTCTATGAGTTACTTTGCAGGAAGCAGCAAACCAATACATTGGCCCCATCTTCGCACAGTCCTGTCCATCAGGATCTTCTTCAGTCAAATCATTTGGCTCATCATGAAAGTACCAAAATGTCAAACTAAGGGATGAAGAACAAAACAGGCATTAACTGTAAAAGCTAAACTTTGATTCTGAAAATGAACAAAAACTGTTTGATAATTTGTTCAGTGTTTTTTTTTTATTTTTTTATATGCCACTATTGCATGTCATAAAATCTGGTTCCTCTTTCTCACTGTTTGTGTTTTGTCGCGGTCGTTCTAAGCTCTTCTCTTTCTGCTCACCACCTCACTGTCACTGAGTACCGCTGGTCTCTTTTCTTTCTGTCTTTTCCTTACACTATAATCCACTGTCTAAGGTGGCTGTTATTGTGAATGGGCAAACCATGTAGTACATTTCATATGTATGAAGTGTAATATAATGTAATTGGACTGAATCAAACCTTTCATTCAGCGGTGAGCCGTCCACCCACAACCATCTGCCCTCTACTGCGGAGTCTGTCAGTCCGATCCAGAAAAGGTCGTCATAGCTCTCGATTTTTTGTTGAATAGCTATCCTCAAGAAACTCTAAACAGATAAAAATGATTAAGTTACTTTGTGAAACTTTCAGTCCTGGGATGATGAAACATGAGGGTGAGAACATGAACCTGCAGCAGGGGTTTGTACCTGCTCCTCTTTGCTGTCTATCTTAACCAGGTCTCCTCCTTTAGTGATACATCCAGTGCTGCTCTCAATCCAGGATGATTTGC